AAGAACCCTGCAGAACTCTACAGAACCCTGCAGGACTGAAGAACCCTACCGGACTAAAGAACCATGCAGGACTGAAGAACCCTGCAGAACTGAAGAACCCTGCAGAACTCCACAGAACCCTGCAGGACTAAAGAACCATGCAGGACTGAAGAACCATGCAGAACTGAAGAACCCTGCAGGACTGAAGAACCCTGCTCCTTCAGACGCAGGCGGACCACTGACTCAGGATCTGGAGACGTTCTTTGGACCCGTCCAGGACCAGTGGAGCCGGGTCTCAGTTGATGTGAGGGACAGATGTCCAACTATAAATAAACCGGATCAGAACCATCAGAAATATTAAAAATGGGATTAAAGATAAACCTCCAGCTGCAGGTGGACCTGACAGACTCAGGTCTGGATTTTTCAGTTCTGGGGGGGCCTTTGGGTCTGAGACAGACCGGCAGCGGCTGGTTCTGGTTCTGGTTCTGAAACGGTAACAAAAGTGTCCTCATGAGCTTTTCATCTGAAAGAAAGATTTTTAAAATTAAACTTTTACTTCCTCCTGGTTCCTCCTCCTGGTTTCTCCTCCTGGTTTCTCCTCCTGGTTCCTCCTGGGCTCCTGCCCCCCTCCCTCCTCCGCTCTGCCGGAGTCCGGATCCTCCTCCCCCCTCCTCGGCAGCAGGAGAACCCGGAGGAGCAGCAGAGGATGCAGACAGTTCGGCAGGATGTCCTTCAGGTCTTTGTGCTTCTGGTTCCGGACGCTCCGAACCCTGGTCCTGCTCCTGGTCCCCCCCTGCCTCCTTCACCCGGATCCGTGCCACCTCCAGGCTCGGACCGGACGCGCGGTCCGGGTCGGTGCGCTCCTGCCAGCCCAGCGAGGTGCGCGCGTGCATGTGCAAGCGGCGCTGAACCGCGCTGCAGCCGCGCTGAGCCGGGACCCGGACCCGGACCTGGACCCGGACCCGGAGCGGATCAACTTTCTTCCCTACAACCTGAGCCTGGAGCTCGTGTCCCGGCAGGTTCCGGCCGCGGACCCGGAGTCGCTGCTCCGGTGCGTGTGTGAGCGCGTGCTGGATCAGGGAGTGTCCGCCATGCTCGTCTTCCCACAGAACCGGGCCGAACTGCTACAGGTGGACCTGGTGTCCTCGGTCCTGGGAATCCCCTTCATCAGCGTCATCGAGCACGGAGAGCCGCTGCGCGCGCAGGTACCGTCCTCTGATACTTCTGCGAGCGCTCGCGTGATTCGGTACTCCTGGTGAGAGTCGGAGAAGTTCTGATGGATCCGGTTTGACCTTGACCCGGTTCATGTCAAACAGAACTGTCCGCCCCGGAACATCTGTTGACTGGACAATACTCCGGAGACATGAGGACAGACAGGTGGAGACATGAAGACAGACAGGTGGAGACATAAAGACAGACA